TCCCCTTCCCCAATTCCCCAACGCTGTTCCCCTCTCCCAATTCCCTAATAAAATCTTAAAAAAAAAAAGATTGCATACAGAAAAGTGGACATTGTGATGAGATGAATCATGCCCCTCCCCCCCCAAAAGATGTTAAAGTCCTAACCCCAGGTACCTGTGAATGTGATCTTATTGGAAATAGGAGTTTTGCAGATGCAATCAAGATGAGCTCATCAGAGTAGGGCTTAATCTCATATGACTGGTGTCTTGATAAGAAGAGGGAAATGTAGACACTGACACACAAGGAGAATGCTATGTGACAACAGAGGCAGAGATTGGAGTAATACAATATAACTACAAGCCAAGGATTGCTGACCACCATCAGAAGCTAGGAAAAGGCAAGGAAAGGTTTTCCCCTACAGGTTTCAGAGGGAGCACAGCCCTGCTGACACCTTGATTTTGGACTTCTAACCTTTAGAACTGTGAGAGAAAAAATTTGTATTGTTTTACGCCACTTAGTTTGTGGTACTTTGTTACAGCAACCCTAAGAAACTAGAGTAGTCATCCCATAAATTTGATTCTCAGCCTTCCTAACAGGTAAAGCAAGGAAGTAGTCCATTACATCCACAGTGCCCACAGGATTAAAATTGTTCAGGGGATGCAGAGCTTTCTATCACCTGAGAGATCAGAGATTGGTCTCCTCTGGGTCAGAAAAAAAACACCACAGGAATCAGTGGACAACTATAGTGATGACATCATGACACTAGCCTAGATAATAAATTTTATGCGCTACTGTAGATGACTCACTGATGCCAAAGGACATGATCCCCAAAGGACAGTTCATTAAAAGCACATCTAGAAACCAGAAATGAAAAAGGAGACATTACTACCAACCTTACAGAAATCAAAAGGATTATAAAGGAATACTATGCACAACTGTATACCAACACATTAGATAACTTGAATGAAATGGACAAATTCCTAGAAAGATACAAACTACCAAAATTGACTCAAGAAGGAGTAGACAATCTTAACAGACCTATAACAAATGAAGAGATCTAATTAGTAATCAAAAAACTACCCATAAAGAAAAGTCTAGGCCCAGGTGGCTTCACTGTTGACTTCTACCAAACATTTAAGGAAAAATTAATACCAATTCTTCACAAACTCTTCCAGAAACAGAAGAAGGAATACTTCTGAACTCATTTTATGAGGCTAGTATTATGACTCTGACACCCAAATCAAACAAAAGTAACACAGGAAAACTACAGACCAAAGGCATATATGAAATGTAACAAAAGAGTATGGTCCAAGTAGACAGTTCTGTAATTTCACATCTTTGAGGTAATCTCCATAAATAGTTTACTCGAATTGGGTTTTTGGTAAGGATTAGACAAATTTCAAGGCTGCAATCTCTGTCAAGAATCTGGAGAGTAAACATTCTGCATTACCAATGAAATGCAGGTCCTCATGCTCTGCCAACTTTCAGGGCAGCAGATAGCAATACGGTCTTCTTATGAAAATTAAGTGTTATTTATTTATGGTTAAATGCATGATGAAAGTTAGGGGAACTGCCACTACCAAAACAAGAACTGAAGAGTGCTTCTCTTGTTGAAACCTGAACAAAGAATGTAGGGCAAAGAAAAAGCCTTATTACATATTTGAAATATATTTTATAATTTGATTTAAAACTACAAGAAAGAAATTTCAGATTATAAGAAAGTTTAAGCAGTGAATCAAACACAGAAAAGA